TGCTGCTGCTGTTGCTGTTGCCGTTGGCGCTGCTGCTGCTGCTGCTGCTGCTGCTGCTGCTACCTCTGCCGCTTCTGCATTTGCCAATGCTATGGTATCCGTGCTCTCGGAGCGTCTACATAAGCCTAAGCCGTCTAAGCCAGCCGAACATGCAGGTTCACAGCTGTCCTTGCCAATGCTCTTGGTTCACAACGTGCTGTTCGTGGCCGATCGCCGGAGGGATTTCAAGCACACCCTAACCCGAACCCTGAGGGATGCACACTTGCGATGGTGTGATTGGAATACCTGCAATGTTTGGATGTCAAGCAGGGCAACGTTGTCCACATCGTGAATCGAATCAGTATGTCAGTATGATGTATATTCAAGACCGTGTATGCATGCACTTACTATGGCAAGAAGCGCAAGTATCTTGCTTCAGTATAGAGTATAGAGTTCCTCATAATTACTGAGAGTATCCCCTTGTAGTCCCTGCACCAGTACATTTACTGTTGTATCTCTGACAGCGCGTGTTCTAAATATACAAGCCCTTGCGCATAGTGGTCGTCTAAACCTTAGACCCTTATCAGCTGAGGTGATTGAGGGGGCGGCGCTGCCTGGGCCTTCCTGGGATTACCCCTTCTCGCAGCTGTGGCCCGCAAGCTGTGCAAGCCCTTGTGTTTGTGAACGATGTTGGGGGTTTAGGGTATTTAGAGTGTTGGGGCGATTTAAAGTTTAGTGGTAGTTCGTGCTCTTGCTGAGAAGGCACCACGGAGGAGGCATAAAGCTCAGGTGCATGATCTTCTTCTCGCTGTTGCTGGTGGCGCCTCGGAAGGCAACTCTCAGGCGGGCCAAACCCGGGGCGGCCCTCAGCCGAAACCATGTCGGCAAGACAAGCATCGGCAGAAGGCAGTCGTCGGGCGCTTGAGCTGCCAGGAACGTAGGCACTGGAGCTACTCCTGTCGGGGCATGCCTACTACTTACTACTTCTACCGCTACCACTCCTGCTACTACTGCTGCTGCTGCTGCTACTACTACTACTGCCACCACTACTACCACTACCACCACTACTACCACTACTACTACTACTACTACTACTACTACTACTGCGACGAGTACTACGTCTCTTACGAAGTGTCTTGTATACTTGCTGTTCTCTGAAGCTTCCCCTCCTCAAGATCTGCATCTGGCAAAGCTCGAGGTGCTCTGTGCCTCCTGGCTGCTGTCCGCCACGATGCAGCTGCTGTTTCTGGGCCCAGCATCACGGCAAAGAAAATTTGAGTCAGGATTAGGCCCAAAACCGAGTATCGAACCCTGCTACTTCCCCGGAACACTCCCAAACTTTCGCGACCATCCGCCAAGAGACTTTACATTCTGCCAGGCACGAAAACAATCACTGGAGTCAGAACAGCAATATCATGAAAAGTGCGAAGGGCCCCTTTACAAGTAGCAAACCCGCACCCCTAATTTTTGAAGCCATCTAGTATGGAAGTCTGAGCTGCTACCCATGTTGTTGCTTAACGCTCCTTACACTTACGATGTGGCTATGCTAGAACACTACACCCCTAGATCCTAAAGCGTTCCCCTAACTCGAAACCTTCTATCAGGTCTACGAGCTGCTGAGGAGGTGGCTTTGAGGGTTGCTTGCAACGGGCATGACAGCGTGTGAGTTCGCAGTTCGTGGTTTGCGTTGAGGGCTTGACGGTTTGAGGTTTCAGGGTTTCGGGCTTGGGGCTCTTATTTAAGGGCTTGGGGTGTGGAGTCTGGGGTTTCGCACGTGGGCTGTGAGGTTGCAAGCCTATGCTAGCCCTATCCTCCAAACTTTCCTAAACCGCTGGACCGTCTTGCAGGCTTGGCGTGCAGGCTTTGGTCGTGGGGCCCAAGAACATCCTTTCAGAATAACCGCATAATGTACAGCAACGCGCTATTCTGCTTCTGAGGCCCCTGCAATCTACCCTTAAAGCCCGAAGGCACTGTTTCACAGATCCATTCTAACTCTTAGGGCCCTGTGTTTGATACAAACCCTAAGCTCTAAACCGAACTTCAGTCCAGAACTTGCTTGGGTGCTTTTGGAGGCCGGTGGCATGGGCCGATGAGTAGAAAGCAGGTGAGTCAGATGATGGGGGTAAGAGTGCTATTAGGGTTCTACAAGAGTTTCAGGGTTCAGGTATCACTGCTACGAGTGAGTCTTGCGATGGATTGTTGTTGCCATTGTGAGTGCTAGAGTTTTTTTGCAGTTGCTTGTCAATTTACAATCGCGGCAGGAGGGAACGTGCAAAGACAATAAAGCCCTCGATTCAAGTCTTTTAAGATTGGTTGGGCTGTCACCAGTGCCATTTCCTGCATGCTGTCAACCATACCCCCCCCCATCACAGACGGTTTTTCAGAGTCCCTTGCAAAGATCGCGCGGAGACAGCGTCGCCCTGGAAAAGTGTGTGAGTGCGGCCAATGTTCGTGGAGTCTCACCATAGAGTTCATGATGGCCCATCATGTTCACTCAAGCTCGAAGCCTTATTCTGTCAGTCTCCACTGCCTATATGCCGCTGCCATTACAGTTGTACAACTGTGAAGGGCTCGAACAAGAAAAGCCATCACGAAGGTCATACGCCTGACTGGACAGCCGTGGGCTCGGGCTTGTTGTAACGTATCGGCCCTTTGTCTTCTGAGCGCGAGCTCGTTTGCATTTTTTTTGGGCAGGCACTCTGCGACTGAACGTGTTGTGCCTATGCACAGGGATGCCTCATCAAGTTCGCATCGCATACCATGCTCTCTGTGGATGTTAGCACTCTCTTGCTGTCTACTACAGTTTACTACGGTGAAAACGGTTATCAGTGCCAAACGTTCACTTGAACTCGCATGCTTTGCCCGGTTCAGTGCCAGATCATGTGGAACGCACAAAGCCACTACACTGCTGGCACTGCCGTTGATGGCGTGGAGCCGGAAGAGCGAGACAGACCTTGAAGTGTTGAAGCCCCCAGCCCTACCCAATATACTTGACAGATAGCCATCTTAATCATGGACACCCACCCCAAGAATGATGTGACGGTAGTGATCACAGTAGTGAGATGTAGATAGCATAGCCAAACCTCTGCCCTAAACCCCAACACCACGCCAATGTGGCTAAGGAAACATGGAGGGCGTTTGCTTGGGGAAGTGCCTTCCTGGAGGGGCACGCGACAGGCGACCGATAAACAGGCACCGGGTGCATTCTGCAGAGGTTACGTGGGGGTGATTCGGTTGGGAATCATGAGTCAAGAACAGATTCGTTTAGGGTCTAGTTGTGGTTGATGGAAAATGTTTTTAGGTCACTCGACTCAACCTGCTTCGAATCCTCAGTTATGTACGAAGTCTTGGTTTCCATTCGAATGGCAGTTTTTTTACTAACCTAGACGGCATGGATCTCTCGCTGCATATGTTGCTGCAACGAAGCAGCACTTGTAGCTGGAGTCTTCTGAGCTCGCTATCATCATGTGTACCAGCTTTGCCGGAAGGAGATATGGAGCCGAAGCAGATGAAGAGATCGATCACCTTCGTGAGCAAGTCAGGTGCGAGAGAATTCGAGCTTGAAAGCAGGGCTGTGTGGCCAAATGTGGCCATGATGCAAGAGCAGGACAACTCTGTCAGTCCGTTTGGCGGGCGCAGTGACGTCTTGGTGGGAGTTTGTGCCTATTCAAGGACCAGCGCTATGTCTTGATGTAGCGTAGCATCCCGGTTGATTGCTGCAGAGTGTATCCCTTGTCCTTAGTGGTCGCCTTTGATGTGGTGAGGGTTGGTCTCGGCACATAGTTGAGGCGGCATGCAGCAACCGCAGCTGCAGCTGCCTGTCCACCACGTAATATAGTATGGAGACCTACGTAATTACCAACATTATTCCGCAATGATTCCGCAGAGTTCCTTCTGATAGCATCTGATAACTGTGTACAACAGTATACTAATTATGACGGCCCCTGTACTACACATCATTGGCCTAAACCCTAAACTTCTAAACCCTAAATCCAATCGCGGGGCCAGGGCTCTGACGGATGCAAACTTGGCTCTGCGACGGGAGGTTGCGGTGCGCAGCCACTGCCTCCGGGTTCAGGAGTTCAGGGTCGTTCCGGGCTGAGCTGTGTCCTCAGTTCGGCTAGTTACACTAGCTGCAAATGACGAAAGCTCGGGTAATTTTGTCCAGGTTGAGGCTGCGGCTGGGTACGGCAGAGGGCAGTTAAATAGCAGGTTGGGAAATTCGCGGTTCTATGACTTTCCAAGCCAGCAGCAGCGCTTCAATTCGCACTCTGCAACAAATGTCGTGCACCGCCCACCCGTTCTATCTGGTAAGTTACAAGCCATCCACGACGGAAATGTCGGCCCTCCTGCTCAATCCCCAGGCTTGCTGCTGGTGTTCGTTGACTAAGCAGTGGCTAAGCAAAGCTTTCAGTGGGGCTAAAGGATCCCCAGGCCTTCATTGTCAGAATGGGGTTTTGGGATATACCATACCACACTTACAGTAAGGGCAGTATAAGCGAATACTTTTGCGACATAGGGGGCTGTTAGGTAGTACTGGCTCTTGCCCCACCTTTCAAGTTCGGTGCCACGCGGTCCGAAGTAGCCATTGGCATGCAGACTTTCGTGAAGGGCGTTTTTCTGGTTTAGGCGCCTAGGCCTTGGGTTCTAATGACAGGAGGACTGTGCCTTTACAGGTACCGTGGAGCCATTGAAATCAAATCTGAGCAACCAGTCGGTGGAATCATGTTCATGTACAGACGGTAAGATGTCAGCATTAAATCTTCCAGCGTTTCGCACCGGTGCCTCGTGCAGGAGGTCTAGACCCTTATGGACACGGAATTCGGTAAGTCTCCTGACTGTTTGTGTGCCGCCATGGGCTGTGCCGGGACGGATGCGACCGCGATCCTGCGATCTTCGCTGATGGAAGCCACAACATGCCACAAAGTTGAAGCAGTTGATGGCAAGAGAGACTTTAAAGCTTTAAAGGCTTGTTTCTTGAAGCACTATGTTTGAGGGTTTTAGGGCACAGAGCTGTAACTTACAAACTTGATGTATGATACAGCTACCTTCGATGCAAAGCTGCAGACAATATTTTGCTCTTATGCTGAAGCTTGGGACCTAGATTTTAAACATAGTGCGCACCAGACTCCAAGCACATGCCTGCGGGTTGGCTTTGCCTCAGAGCCCGCTCGCAGCCGAGGTGATGCTCCAGGCAACGGCTGCGCAAAGGCCGGATAATATCGTGGTATATGATGTTCTTAGGTAATTACATGGCTTGTAAACAGGTAAACAATACATCGCTGTTCGCGAATCGCCAGGAAGCCACGGATGCCTACACTGCTTGCCTAGCCTTGCGCAGCCTGCAGCGGCAATCAGCATGGCAGGAGCAAGCAGTAGCGCTTAGGGTTTAGGGTTGAGGGTTAGGGTTAAGGATATTACGAAAAACGAAATCACCACAACCAGCGTTAAAATAAAATCGACCGAAAATGAAGCTGCGAAGCTCCCTCCAACACATTTTGTTATTAACTAATTACTTTGCTTGTAGCTTCCTGGCTTCTGCTGCTTGGCTTCGGGCTCCCACCCAAACTAACTGCTCGCCAACACAGCCACCCACCACATGTGCTTGCCCTGGCCCAGAGTCCCTGTAGAATTGCAGTCAAGTATAGTGCCATATCCCTATACTGATGATTCAGGCCCCTACACAACATGGCTTGCATACGTACATACATACATACATACATACATACATACATGATTATGTAAAGGTGTGAATACTCGTTGTCCTATGTTGTGTTGTGCTGGTAGTAATGTGAGACTGAGAGAAGTGAGTGTCATAAAGCAGATTGCGAGTGCAACTCTCACTCTTGTCCGGCCTTGCCACCCTGGGAAGGAGGCAATCTCGCTCTTTGCAGCGATTGATCGGCGGTCTGTTGAGATAAATGAGTATGTCTGCACTGCAGCCGTTACATCTTGTGGGCAACCTGGCCTGTCGGAAGTGACATTCTTTCAAGTGTCCGGTAAGTTCTTTCAGAACGTTTCCGTTTCCTTCTTTGGGTGCACGGCGTGTTGCTTGCCAATGTGGTGTTGATTTCGGTGTTGCTTTGAGCTAGTAGATCTATGCACAATCCGCACGGGACAGGCGTTTTCTTGGGGATTTGAACACGGCTCGAACATGATGTCGCTGCGAATTGGATATCGATATCCGGACGGGACTTTTGACGTCAAGTGCTGGGTATGAAACCAATAATTGCTATCCTCAGGACGAGAACTCTGGTTCTGGATGTGAGATGAAGTAAGAAGTGCCCGTCAGCACAATAGCAATATTAATACAAAAGCGACTAGTAATAGTAGTAATAATAATAGTAATAATAATAATAATAGAGATCACCATCATCATCAGCAACATCATCACCATCTCCATCATCATCGTCACCATCATCGTCCATAACGACAGCATCACCATCATCACCACCATCATCACCACCATCATCATCATCATCACATTCATCTTTGTCATTTGTCATCATCATCCTCATCCGAACCATCGTCATCATCATCAACCACATCAACATGAATATGCATGAACATTAGCGTGAACTTGAATGTGAGCATCATCGTCATCATCATCACCATCATGAACATCATCATCGTCATCATCATCACCGCCATCATCATCATCATCATCATTCGTTGCGGCATCGGCATCATAGTCATGACCATCGTCAAGAACACTTCGACGCGGGTGCTGCCACGACAATTGTTTGCCGATTCGAGAGTGTGTAGAGGAAGCCCAGCTTTTCTGGAGCACACAATCTAGCGGAACGCTTTACCAGGTTCAAGGTTTGCGGTTCAGGCAAAGCCAAGATCCCGGCCAAATATGCCCCAGCTACTCAACTCTGAGCCCTCAACCTGAGCTCCCACATCATTGAAGATGTTCCTGGCGACAGAGCCCGACACAAGCTCCGCACACGATCCGAATCTACGAGCGCTAGGCTGTAGCTCAGGAAAGGGCTTCAGTGGGCCTTGGCCGAGCAGATCCTTAGCTCACTGCCTCAACGACGCCTCGAGCCTTGCCTGTAATTTTTTGAGCTCTTAGGAGTGTGGCCGCTATGACT